TATGATGATTACAGAAAGCAAGATTTTCATACATCTGACGATACTCCTGCCAAAAATATACCACTTTGGATTCAATATCGTGTTAATCAATATGCATTAAGAATGGTTTTGTAACTATTGACAGATCTAATAATGATACACCTCTATATTAATACATAGTTACAATACAGGGAGATATTTTATGGTTTGTAGAATATATTAAGCAAAGCGTATTAAAATAAATAATTAATTTGTTTATGTAAAACCAATAAAATTTTCGTAATTTCGTTTCATGCTCACACTCCATGGGGTTTAAAATGTGTATACTATAATTATGTATCAAATGTGATAAGCATTGCCAAATAATCATGACTGCCCATTTATATTATTCATATATCACCTTGCTTTCCTGTTCATAAATGGAAATATGATCTCAAAAAAAGTTATTAAGGTGGAGCAACTGAAATCTTTCGCGAATGTTGATGTCAAAGACATTAGTCTACGGAAGGTGACAATCCCTAATGATCTTTCTTACTTGACCAAGATAATGTGGAGTAGACGGGTTAGGTTCAGCGGAAAGCATGATATTATTTCATTTTGTGCTTTATTCCTCCCTTTAAATGTGACCTACTCCAATATCTTTTATAGTTTCATTTTTTACTTAGCTGGCCGGCCCTTTCTCACGTATTACTTTACAAAAATATAAAAAATATTTTACTTTGATTTTTTAAATGTGTTATGTATTACAAGTGATATTGATATTTATTAATTACATTTGCTTTCATATAAAATTTACTAAATTATTAAAAACGCCTATACTAACGAAAAAAAACCTTCTTATCTGACCCTCTACATAATTGATGGTAATTCGCATTTTGCGAAAAAGAAGGGATAGTTGGAATAATAATGGTGTTCATGGTGATCGAATCTAATTTAGCCGAATCAAATCCGAACAATCGAATTTTGATTTTATAATATTGCTAAATTAGCTAAAATCGATAAAAACACTATAAAATCAATAAAATCATGAATTTAGATAGTAGAGTCTATTCTAAGATATTTGGAGCAAGCTATAGTGATATAAACTTTGAAGAATAGGGAAGAATAGTTAATGCAATATGGCCTTTAACAAAAAGATGTAATCACGAAATACCAGAAATGTGATGCTCTCGTATTCGTGATCCATTTAGGAAAATACTTGAAGAGAATCCAGAAATTCTTTTTAAGAATAGGTATATTTCAATGTGTGAAAAGTTATATGAAAGTGATAAAGTTCACGTTCATCCAACCAATTATATATATTGTAATGTATATAACTCCTTAGTTTTCATACCTGATACTTCTTTTAGTATTTGTATCTATCAAAATAACCACTTGAAGAGATGTATTTCTAGAAATAGTATCTTGAATGAACATGTAAAAAGTAAAGAAATTCTCAAATCTATTGATAGAAGAGAATTTGGAATTTGGCAATACAAATAATACATATTACAAGAAAAAGCAAAAATTAAGCATCTCTAACTGGAACTTTTATCCCAATTAACTCAACACTCAGAAAGGATAAATTGGCATTAGTATCATATAATCATGATGGAAATTTAACAGCTAGCTATGAAATATATACATAATCTAAAGTAACTGTAACAAAAAATACTATGCCAAGTGTTTCAAATTTTGAGCCAGCTTATATTTTACCTACTAGATAAGAAATGATTTCATTAATCTCTTATCAATCATTGGGATTTACTAAAATAAATATCACAATTGAAATATTTATCTTATCTTAATATGTAAAAGAAAATAACTTACTACCATCTATAAACCATCTTAATTAACTTATATTAAGATTGAAAGATGAGACAAAAATCATGATTGTTAAATTGGTTTAACTAACTGATTTTGAGAAATATCTTAATTATAGATTATTACTTTCAACTGAAGATTAATATCATTTAGCAAAAGTGCAATGTATAACTTATTCTTTATTTTTTTTTGTGTTATATAATCTGCATATATAATTATCTGCTTTAATGCCTTTGGTAATAAAATTGTAAAATATATCACTTATAGGATAAAAATGTGATCTGCCTATTTTGGGTTAAATCTTCTAATATATAAATATTTTAATGAAATGATTATGAGAATTCTTGATTTCTAAATACTATAATTATAGCTTTAAAATTTCTATGTAACAGTTATCCAGCGAACTTACAGAAATTACAAGAAGAAATCTGAATCTTGACAAAACAAGTTTGGGAGATGATGAGAAATGATGATACTCCTGATAGATATAAGTATTTAAGTATTATTCGTCCTGATAAGGTTTATTATTATATTAATGGAAAATTAATATAATATAATAAAAAAGTTGATCAATTTCTTTTACAGTATGATCATATAATTTATATGACTAAAACTTAGGCAGAAGATAAAAAAATCAGTTATTATACAGATTAAAATGGATAAATTTTGATCATGTTAGTAAATTATTACAGTAGAAAAGTTATACAATTACTTTTGCTATAAATTGATATATCATGATAAAATAGATATAGAATCCCAAATAAAGATGGGTATCATAATTAAGAAATTGCAACTCGGTTAGTTACAATTCCTTGTAAATTTATTTTAATATAAAAATTCATAAAATGTTGCAACTTAAAGTATTGCAACTTAAGCTGCAACTAGTTAAAAATTTTAAAAATAATTATGAGAACCATCTTTAATCCCAAATATTATTATAATTAAAGATGGTTCTCATAATTATTTTTAAAATTTTAACTAGTTGCAGCTTAAGTTGCAACACTTTAAGTTGCAACATTTTATGAATTTTTATATTAAAATAAATTTACAAGGAGTTGCAACTTCTTAATTATGATATCTATCTTTAATTATAATACTAAAGAAAATCTTATTAGTAAATAATTAGTCAGAAAAAAACTATTAGGATAATGTGATTTGCAGACGTATACTTCATCTGATAGCAAAGACTACTTATACAGAGATAGACTATCTTAAGAACATTCTAAAAAAATTGACACTAATATAATCAGTATTATTATATAGTGTATTATAGGAGCTAGCCTGTAAAATACTATATCAGCATTTATAAATTTTTAGAATATGATCAAAGTGATACATAAATAAAAAATAGTTTTATATAGGAAAAATGTATTATATTAGCTTATTATTTGCCTATATTTTATGGTCAATGCATGTAGGTATGTGCAATATAAATATTCATGTTTCTGATTTTCGTTAAAATATATATGATATAATAGTGATACATTATTAATCATCTGTGCAGTGCGACTAACTGCTTGTGCAATAAAATAATTTCACACATAAATCAATTTCCTCCCAAAAATTATTTTGAATTTTTTTTCTTTCCCTTCGGTTATAGACCTGTAAGAGATAATCTATCCTAATAATAGCATATCCAAATAGTATATCTATTCAGAATAGATTATTTTTTTCAAATAAATATGATAAAAAAAAGTAGACAGATAAAAAAATTTATATATATATTATTCTCAATGTCTTTTTAAATGTTAAGATCTTTAATGTATACTTCACATGCTCTTCTTCTCGAACACAACATTTTTAGTATAAAAGTCATTACATATTCTTCTACATCAATTCCAATATGAACTCAGACTTAGAAAGATGTGAATAAAAAAATTACAAATATTAAAAAGGGCAATATAGTAAAATTATTACGCTTTTACATTTTTTTTACTCTGCTTAGCAAAAAGTTACCTATTATGCGAATCATCAAGATATGATTCAATAAATAAATCTAAAAAAGTTATGCCATACCTTTTTATCAAAAAAAGATTAGAAATCCAATATAATAATAAAGTAAGAGCAAAAGAATTACTTTACTGTCATCAATATATTAATAATAAAAATATGCTTTATACTAACATTCAATTTTTATTTTATTAAAATATAGAAAATTTCCTTTTAATAAGAGAACCCTTTAATATTGCCAGAATTTTTACAGCACTATTTGTATGAATAGAGCAAGATGTATAGATAGATATTTTCAAAAAGAAGGTGGAGAATTTTAAAAATGTTTTGTGAAAAAGTTTTAGAGCAGGTTTTATCAAAGGATGTTGAACAGATAAATAAGTTCAAGGTTTTGGTACCAAAAAAATTAGCAAAATGAATAAGATAATAAATTATATTTATGATAAATATATGGATATATTTTAGGTTTTCTTGACATGTATATTAGTGAATGCATTGTGCTCAACGTAATTCTATCACTTTTATATGGAGCATGTTGCAACAAAACCAGACAAAGTGAACATTGGTATTACCAAGAATTTCAGGAATCAAAATTTAGTCATTTGTAATGTGATTATAATTATTAACAGTTTTATAATATCCCATTTGTTATCTTAAGTGATATATAAACCTACTTCTATATAAAAATAGTTAATATAAAACTCATTTATATCAGATCTACTATAGAACCCAAGAATTATAGTACCATTAGAAGTATTTTAAAAAAGGAACAAGGTGAAAAAATTGCTTCTTATATTTTCAAAATAAATGATACTCAGGCATTGGAAGCTTATCTAAGAAAAGAAAAGATTACTTATGAAATTTACCAAGAAGAAAGAAAAATAATAAGTGTTAGAAAAAGAAAGCATCATGATGATGTATTATTATCTAATAAAAAGCAAAATTTCTAAAAAGAAAATAACTATCACTTGAGATTTGTTTATACAAAGTATGTTGATCATCCTTTGATAGTTGAAATGAATTTCAATTTATACAGAATTTCTTTAAACTACTTTTTTATTTTCAATCAAGATCATCTTTTAGTCTCTTTAATTTCAATTGGAGCAGTTAATTGACCATTCTATTGATCTTTTAATTTTCTGTTTCCTCTTCTGGTTGTTTAATTCTTTCTTCTAAACCCTTTACTTTATCTAATAACTTCTGTTTTTGCTTTTTACTTCACTCTTCAGATTTTTCCTAAAACTTGGCTACTTCTTCTCTTTTGATTTTTAACCCTTTTTTAGCAATTGATAACTCTTTTTTAGCTCTCTAGTTTTCTTTTCTAAACGAGAACTGAATGCTTGTGAAAGTAATTCTTTATCAGAAATTTGCTTAGTTGATTTAGCTTTTAAATAACTACAAAGACACCTATTTCTATTTCTCTTTAACCTACCACACTTTTCATATTATAGAAGAGTATTATTATCACAATCTTTTTTACATTCTTTACAAATAAAAACTATGTCATCATAACCATCAGGAGTATTACGACCTACCATTGATGAGTAGTAGGAATAGTATCAAGACTAAAATTAGTTGGATTGTCGAAATCTAGAAAGCAAAAATTACATTCTTGTTCATCATCCTTTGCTATTTCTAAAACTCTATATTCTAATCTCATTTTACTTATTCTTTTTAACAACAATAAAAGTTTAGAACTTATCTTTAGCCTTTTCTTTAACTTTGCTTACTAATTTTTTAAGTTTATGTAATCTATTTTCCTTTGGCAAAGCTGGCAATTCTTTGGTTGCTAAATAATCTCTTCAGTTTATTTCTTGATTTTTAGCCAACAAATTATTTTCCAACAAGCCTATTTGATCCAGAAGTTTTCCCATTGCAGCATCGTGTTTCAACACTGTTTCAAATATTTGATGCTTTCTTCACTTCATGACTATATTTAGTGCTTTTTCAACTTCTTCTCGCTTCATTCATATCTCATCATCTAACTCTTCTACTTTTGTTTCTAATTCTTCATTTTTTAGTTCCAATTCTGCTATTTAATTCTCATACTTTCCTTTTGTTCAATTTTTTGAGTATTCAAATTTTTGACCAACTTCCTAAATATTTTGAAGCTAAATCATTTGAAAAATCAATAAACCCTTTTAATATTTCTTCAATTGTAATGTTATCAAACCAAACTCTTTTACAATTCTTAGCTCATTCTCTAGTTTTCTGAGGATCTATTGCTATTCTTAGTTTGCCTTCATCCGTTTACTTTTTGTTTAGATTTTTGTTTTATTATGTTCCTCTAGAAGCATACATACCAACTTCACCCTTGTCATTAAGAGACTGACCAGTGACATGTCAGATTTTTAGTTTAAGATTTTCTTCTTTATCTGCTAATTATTTCTTTAAATTTTCATTTTCTTCTATCAGTTTTTTATTACTTTCTTGTAATTCACTTATAATGTTTGTCATGACTTTCTTTTTATTACCTTTTTTTTTTATTCTTTTAATATACTGTACTTATATTCTTTTTATGAGGACATATTAAGTATATAAATTATTTTAGTCTTTTTTTTAAAAAAAATGGAAAAAGCTAACAATATTTATCAAAAGATTAAACTTATTAAAACTTAATGATAGCAAAATGAGGAACAAAGTCATAGAAGTGGTTTTATTCTGAATATTTTATTTGTTGCTAGTATAGAATAGCCTTAAACAAGTAATATCTTTGTATTCATCTTTCACAAATGGTCGAATATTGTTATAAAGGTATTCTTGCCTTTTATAATCCAAAGGAGGTGATATTAATACTAAAATAGATAAAGTTCTAATTTCTTCAAAAATATCTGCTTTCTTGATTTTCAATAAATTGAATTCAGTAAAAGGTCCATTAGCAACTTCTTGAACTTTCACTGTATCAAGATTAGATACTTTAAAAAGAAAATGTTGATACTTTTGTAAACCATTTAGTTTCTTAAAATAAATTCCCAAAATAGCTTTGATATCTAAGTATTGAAAGTCTTTTTCACCTTCACAACATTGTGCTTTATTTAATCCAGCTGGACTAGACTTTTTTACCACTTCAACCATATGATCTAGACAATCTACTCTTGTTTTTCTGTAGAGTTTTTTAATCAATCCAAAATTACCATCATATTTGAATTTGATATGTTCAGGAATCATGAAATTTAATTCAATACTTTCATAATAATCACAAATTACTAAATATAAAATAAAACCAAATTGTTACATTATTTTTATTCTGTCAACTAGCATTATCACAAGTAATTTTTAAATGCTTTTCACCTTTATTCAATTTCTTAATTCTATCAAAAGTCATACTAAGAGTTCCATTGGGTCCTTTTCCTATAACTTTATCTTTATTAAGAACATAATTAATTTGCTATCTTACTGCTTTATCTTGAATACCAAATAAATGAACTTTGCATAGACTAAGATAATAAATTTTATTTACTTGTTGATCTAAGTGTGATATATGAACATTTTAGGCTCAATCATAACTATAATATGAAGTAGTATCAATACTGCAATACTGTGTTTAACCCTTTGAATATTATTGATCAACTAGTTTTCTTTGTTTTTTTGCTAATTTGGTATTTTTATTATAATAATTTCTTTCTAATTTGGCCTTGGATAGATGTTCGTTAAATCTTTTGAGCAAATCTTTGACTTCATCCTTTTGATAAGTATTGTAATATAAACTATCTTTAAAATGCTGACAAGTATCATATAAATCAATTCTTGGACTCATAATTTGAATCTCTGATGTCAATTGATGTCATAATTTCCTGAAAGCATCATATTTTAAGGATTTCAATTTGCTATCTTCTTCTAGGCTAGCTAGAAAACCCCTGTGGACTGATTTATAACTCATTTCAGCTGATAAGAATACAATTGATTAAGTTATTCTATTGATACTTCTTCCTGGACTTGGTAATTCATGAACTTCAGCATAATTTTCTAGAAAATTCCTTACTACTCCTGCAACATTTTTATCAATCACCATTTTAGTTTTCCATTGAGGCATCCTTTTAATATTACCATGAATTCTTGGTAAAAGACCATTGTTTATTAAATGATTTCTAATATTTTCAAAGTAAGTTCTACCAATTCCTAACATATTAAGATAAGTTTCTTTATAAAGAAGTGTATTGTGATCTTAATGGTAGAAAGTTCTTTTATTAGATCTGGTTTTCTTTTTAAGACGTTTACTAGTACTTGTTGATCTACCATCTATTGCTTTAAGTTGGGCCATTAAAAATATGTCTTGCTCAGACTTAGAAAAAGCTTGAAAGAATTCTCTTAATTCTGCAAATTGTTCCTTGGGAATTCTTGAAGAACAATTACAATTACAACCTTTTTCTAAAAAATTAATGGCTTTTTGATATTCATTAGAATCATTATATTTACTATTACTTTTCATATATACTTATCTCTATATATATATAATTTTATGTAATTTTACATTCATTTTGTATTACTTTTATATTTAATAGTTTTAAAACAATTTATTAAAAATTACTTCTTCATTAATTTTCTTTTTTCTTTTCAATACAAAGTCCTTTAAATTTATTTTACATATAAGTAATAGAAACAGATAATTCAGAAAATTGTAGATGTTAGTATCTCTTATATCAACTTTTAAAATCAATATTTACATACACAATATGCAATGATATAAAAAATCATGCTTCATTTGTTTGAGGTATCACTTGCTCTTTTACAATTTTACCATCTTTCAAACATGCATATATTTATACATCATCAAATTTTTCATTATGCCAAAAATGGACAACATTGAATCCTTGAATTTTCTGTTCTTCAGATTGATATATAGGATTCTCTGCCTTACAATATCTATCCTCAAAGGTGAAGTGCACAATTCAAATTGCAGTAGCAACTAGGTTATCACCATAGAACAAAGCATGATTAAAATGTTCTTCTAGATTTGATTGATTAGCTGTGACCACAAGCTCTAATACAATATTTTCTTCATTACCATTGATTACAATGTCAACATAATGATGCACATAGTCTCCATCCTGACCAACTTTTGTCAAATGCTATTGTCCAATGATAGTATATGAAGCAAGCCAGTTTTTCAAGATCCTTATTAATTCCTGATCATAGGTGTTTTCCCTAGGAATTTTCCTTCCATTTTTACCATTAACAGGTACAGTTGCTTTCTTGAAACAACATAAAGGTGCCAGATGAATGAGTTTCACATCAAAAAAAGTAACAATTACTTGAAGCATCTTAAGGATATCAAGTTTCTGATCTTTATCAAGAGGAATCTCACTTCGAGATATATGTGAAAATAATTCTGAAAGAACATCCATTTTAATGTATATACCAACAAAGGGAAATGATAATCTGACCTTGTTCAAGAAACTATCAGCAGGTGTTAAGACACCTTCTGCTGCCAAGAATTCTATCAAATGATCATGCTGATCAGGAACTTTTGTGAATACTATAGCATCAAGAAGGTATTGGTGAAGAAACTTTATAGCTTTCATGGAATAAGATTCTTTGAGTTTATTAATCAACTTATGAAATGTTTGGTATCCCCTTATTTCTTGTGATAATATTTTAAGTTCTAATTTTTGCTAATATAGGTAGGTAATACATCGTCTTTCATTAAAATCTTTTGGTGATAATTTTTCATCAATAGCATGCCACAAAGGCAAGTAAAACCTGCATGACTTTGATAAAATTGATAAGAGTGATTAGTTTTTTCTCAGCACATATTATAAAAAGCATTATAAAGAATTACACCTGTCCATTTGTTAAAATATAGACATCTGTGATCACCAGAGGGTCAATGACAATATCTCTATCACTCATAAACTCTTCAAATAAAGTTTGGACTTGTTTAAATAGCAAATCTGGATTCTGATATTTCTTTGTAATATTGAAGGGAGACACATGGGGATTACTTATATTCAAATAAAGTATACTGAATGTTCTAATGGAAACCACAAAATGGATGGATCAATTTTGTAGCTATTTAAGAAAGCGTAATAATCCTAAAAGGTTATCCTTGATTTTTATACCAATCAAATATAATGTATCAAATTCATCAATAAACAAAACCATACATTCAGACCATTTTTCAAAAAGACTTAGAAATTCATCCTAAGTTTGTAAAGAATTGTACAATCCAGTAGTTCTTCTGTTTGACTTCAGCAACTGGCCAATAAAAATTTCCAGAAAGAATCCAAACTTAAATTATCATCCAATCCTTCAAAACTTATACTATTATCAAATAATATTATAATAAGCAAATAGCAGTATTTTAGAAATATAAATAAACATAGATCAATAAACTTACTATAAGCAGAAATAACCTTTCTCATTCAGCTATTTTATAGTTCGAAATACACAAGATGATTTACCTGAAGCATGTGTACTATGTACCATTAAAAAAGAACCTTTAATGATTTTCTTGAGCAGTAATAAGTTTCATTCAGCGGGATCAGCAAAGTATTGCACTTTTCTCTCTATTGCTATTACTGTACCATTTGCCTTCCATCTTTTTGAAACCTGAAAATATGTAGAAACGTAAAAAATATAGAAAAAGAGAACAAAACACTTCAAATAAAAGTTAGCATGATCTGTACCTAAAACTCTTCAAATTCAACTTTTTGTTTCTCTTCATGAATTTAGCAGTACACAACAAGAAGTTGAAAAACATGAGTCAGTTAATGTTATAAACAATATACCAAATAAATAAACGAAATAGAATGAACGAAAAATAATTTTTTTTTTACACAATTTGTTTATTACCTTTTTCATCTTTACCAAACTCAACTAACTTTTTCTGTAAATATATCACTTGTTCTCCCCAATTGTTCACCTTCTTCAATATTTTCTCTTCCTCTTCTAGCCTTTTCTTCTCCTCCTTTTCCCTTCACTAAGCTCTCCACTTATCGCTTTTATCCTCAACTCTTCTAATAACTTCCTATAATTCTCACCTTCTTCAAACATTTCAACTTCTTCTTTGCTTCTTTGTGCTCGTTCTTTGCATCTTTTAACTTTTGTCTAATTTCTGCAATTGTTGACATTATTAATATTTAAAAAATTAATTATTTTTTAAAAAAATTTTTTTTTTTGATTGATTTAGTTTGTAATTGTTAATTTGGATCAATAATAAAATAGTGGACACATGACTTGGAATTAAAAAATTTTTTTTATGGAACAATGAATTAAACAACAAAAGAATTATTTGATTTTAATAATAAAAATACATATAAAAGGAATTGCTTCTAGCGTTTTTCTTCTAGGATTTGTAAAAGTTTTTTATTGTGAAAACAGCAACACCTTTTCCCTCTCCAAGTAATTCACGAATTTTTATGACCATTTTACTGAATGAAAAATTTGGAATTCAATTAGTCTTTTTGTCAAATAATTGTTTAAAATCCTTCTATAGATTTTTGATATTTTGTGAATAGTTTTATTGCCAGTAAGATTGTTTGATTTATTTTTGAATTGGCTTTTTTTTTGTTCAATTTTATCAATTATTTGATTGATTTTTAAATGCAGTTATCATATTTTATATGCACTGGTTCTACTCACTGAGACAAGAATCAGATTGTCTTGATGCAGGGGATAATTACACTATAGGCGAAACAGAATCAGAAGACTCTAGTCCTGAAAATAAATATAACTTAGAGCCAGAGTCTGCAAAAAATGATGAAATATCTGATATTATCAATATGTATAGCTACTAGCAACGCACCTTCGCTAAATTTTGCTAGATTTCAAAATCTATGATTGAGAGGTATTTTTTTTCCTTATCCTATCTATCTGCAAATTTTAAATTGGTTGTAAAAGCTCGCACTAATCTACTTATTATTAGTATGAATATCATAAAAGTAATTCCAAAGGCCTGAAGGAAATCCAAAGCTAACAACTTTAAATCAATTCTAGAACAGTTCTTAGAAAAATATAGCTTATCTACTAAGTCCACTTCAGAACAATTAAGTGAATATAATAAAGAGTTTGATACATCACTACAGGATCAAAATACCCGAAAATGTGTTAAAAATCTCAAATATAGTAAAGATAAAAAGATGCTCTTCTACCTAATAACAGAAAGGAAAAATTGACTATAGAGAAAAGGGCAGAATATTGCACTAAAGCTGGTAATAAATGGGATATTTTTCATCATAATATAGAATTAGGATCAAAAACAATAATAAAAATAAAATTATAGCATTCGCCTCATGCCAATACCAATTTCGTGAAAAATTAGCAAAAGCTGGAGTAGTAGGACAAAAATGGGGTTTCTGAGACAGAATTCGAAATAGTACTCAGAAAAGATTCCTGATCGCCTGCGAACCCATTTTAGCTATATGAATCAATTATCAAATTCAAACCTCTAGCGCATTTTGACTTAATTCTAGATGATGATATCAAACTTGACTAGGAATTAACCTATTTGATACCAAGAATTACAATGTTTGATTTAACCATTCTAGCCTGATTTTAATCC